TTCCTTTCCACCAAACTCTATCTTGAGTTTTTGCCTAGATGCAGTGAGTTAGGTAGGACCCCACTGGTTGTTTGGTTACTGTGTTATTTTACCAAAGAATTGCTCAGAGTATGCTTATGGGCCAAGATAAGGAAGTCATCTAAATGGACATCCTATACAAAGAGGTTACTTAGTGTGAGATGGGGAAATCCAAACACTTGTTTAATGGCAGTCTTCAATTATTATATAAATTAATAATCAGTTATACTCTCTGACCCTGCTAGAAAATGAGCTTCAGATAAAGACTTAGGCTTGACAAGTCAGAGCTTCTTGAGGAATGTTAGAGTGATTACTTGGGAAAGGAGTTTCTGGGGAATCTGAGATGGCCTTCTCTAGAAGTCACTAAAGCTAGCTTGTTTTTGTTTGTTTTGTTTTGTTGTTGGTTCAGACAGGACGGTTTCTCCCTTGAGAAAATTCTCTTCTTAGAATTTCATAGCTTTTGCACTTGGAGAAAATATTTGACTATTTTGCCTCTGCTTTCTTCTCTAACTTAAAATAGTTATTTAAACTCTTGAGTTTAATGCAATAACATACTCCCCTTGATCACAAAGTACACAGTCTTACTAATGATGTGCTTGCTTATTCATCTGCTGACCACTTTCTGACTGTACCCCATACTGTATCCACACTCTACTGAAAAGAAATTGGTCCTAACTTTTTGCTCAGATATTTACATACAGGAATTTAGTGTTGTCATCTCTTACTATTATGATCATTTAGGTCCAGATCAAGGTGGGTGCCCGAAAAAAAGCCGAAGTGTTTTATCTGTACTTTTCCCCTTTGGCTTAATAAGTACCACCTATGTTTCTAAAGATATTTTCAAGTGCTTTAAATGTACTTGTGGTAGGGTACTCCAGTCAAATGGGAAATTTGAAAAAAGCCCCATGTATTAATTTCAGCTTAAAGGCTGTCAAATTATTGATAAAATATTGATAGCCTAACTAAATGAAGTTAGGCATTGATAATACAGTTTCAGGTAAACTGTTTTTTCAAGACTCATGTATGGTTACATGTGTCTTTTTAAGACTGTTAGTCTGCATTGTTTCAAGGGGTGAGAGGTGAAGGTTGGGATAGGATAGAAAATATTTGTTTAACTTTTGACTCTCTTTAGCCTGCTATTTCTCTTTAGTATTTGATTTCCTTCAAAAATAAACTGAGCTTCATTAATACTTAAGAGGGCTAATAAAAAATAACGTGAGTACTAAAACCTCTGACAAATTAATGATCCCTGCTCAGAAAAGATCCTGGCTCTTCATTAATAAACTGTGCTTAGGCTTTTCTGTCTCTGTGAGCATTGTCCTTGATAATTTCTTCTCATATAAATAGAAATTTACCATTGTAACAGACTTTCTCTCACTGAGGTGAAACAGAAATTACATCATCTTTTCTGGCAGTTTCCTAAATATATGTTAGACTCTCCTAATTATTATTTTTCAGGTCATTGTTTAAAAAAGCCACATGTTAAAACATGTTTAAAAGTCAAGCGAAGACTTCTGGCCAAGATGGAGGCGTAGGTAGACCCACTGTGCCTCCTCCCACAACCAAAATAAGGACAACAACAACTTAGAAACAAAAACAACCAGTACCAACAGAAAATTGAACTGTATGGAAGTCCGACGACCAAGGAGTTAAAAGTAGACGCATTCATCCGGACCAGTAGGAGGGGCAGAGTCAGGCAGCCAGGAGGAGAGGGGTTGCAGCAAAGCGGTAGCTGGTGACCCCCAGCACACAAGGCAGCAGTGGGTGGACCAAGTGGTCCCACATTCACACAAAGGTAAACCAGGCAAAATTGGGGAGTGAGACAGACCATGCAACCCAGGGCCCCAGCGCAGGGAAATAAAGCCTCAAACCACTGATTGAAAACTCCTGTGGGGGTTGAGGTGCCAGGAGAGACTCCCAGCCTCTCAGGAGAGTTTGTTGGAGAGACCCACAGGGTCCTAGAATGTACACAAACCCACCTATGTGGGAATCAGCACCAGACGGGCCCATTTTGCTTGGGAGAACCGAGGGAGGTGACTGAAATCCACCAGAGAGCAGAGCAAGCACCATTATTCCCTTTCAGACCCCTTTCCCACATATAGCATCACAACATAGCGACACAGGTTACCCTGTCCTGGTGAACACCTAAGGCTCTGCCCCTCACTACATAACAGGTGCATTAAGACAAAAAAGCAAACAAACAAAAAACGGCATAAATGAAAGAACAGATCAAAGCTCCAGAAAAAATACAACTAAATAATGAAGAGATAGCCAACCTATCAGATGCACAGTTCAAAACACTGATAATCAGGATGCTCACAGAATTGGTTGATTTTGGTCGCAAATTAAATGAAAAAATGAAGGCTACACTAAGCAAAATAAAGGACAATGTACAGGGAACCAATAGTGAAGGGAAGGAAATGAACTCAAATCAATGGAGTGGACCAGAAGGAAGAAAGAAACATCCAATAGAAAAGAATGAAGAAACAAGAATTCAAAAAAAAAAAAGAGGAGAGGCTTGGGAACCTCCAGGAAATCTTTAAATGTTCCAACATTTGAATTATACGGGTACCAGAAGGGGAAGAGCAACAAGTGGAAAAGTTATTTGAACAAATAATAAAGGAGAATTTCCCCATTCTGGCTAAGGAAATAGACTTCCAGGAAGTCCAGGAAGCTCAAGAGAGTCCCAAAGAAGTTGGACCCAAGGAGGAACACACCAAGGCACATCATCATTACATTAGCCAAGATAAAAATGAAGGAGAGAATCCTAGAAGCAGCAAGAGCTAAGGGGACAGTCACCTACAAAGGAGTTCCCATCAGACTGTCAGCGGATTTTTCAAAAGAGACCTTACAGGCAAGAAGGGGCTGGAAAGAGGTATTTCAAGTCATGAAATCCAAAGACCTACATTTAAAATTGCTCTATCCAGCAAAGCTTTAATTTAGAATGGAAGGGCAGATAAAGTGCTTCTCAGATAAGGTCAAGTTCAAAGAGTTTATCATCACTAAGTCATTATATGAAATGTTAAAGGGATTTAACTAAGAAAAAGAAGATAAAAAATATGAACAGTGAAAGGACAGCAAACTCACAATCATTAACAACCACACCTAAAACAAAAAACAAAAGCAAACTAAGCAAACATTTAGAAAAGGAACAGAACCACAGAAATGGAGATCACATGGAGGGTTATCAACAGGGGAGTGGGAAGGGGAGAGAGGGGGAAAAGGTACGAAGAATAAGTAGCCTAGATGCTAGGTAGAAAATAGATGGGGGGAGGGTAAGAATAGTATGGAAAATGTAGAAGCCAAAGAACTTATATGTATGGTACATGGACATGAGCTAAAGGGGGGGAATGTGGGTGGGAGGGGGTATGCAGGATAGAGGGTAGTAAAGAGGGGAACATGGGACAACTATAATAGCATAATCAATAAAATATATATTTTAAAAAAGTCAAGCTAAACATCTTAGTGAAACTGAATGAATAAAAGGCTTTCAAATCTGAGATCTGTTCTTAACTTAGCCTTCTGAACTGCCTCATTTGCCATAAATTTGCTCCTCCTGAAACTTAAACACAGCAAGCAAGCTTCTTCTTTTTTAAATTGATTTTTGCTTTTGGCTAATTGAAAACCTGGCAGTTTCTAAGCTCACATATGGGAGACTATTCCCCTCTCCTACCCAAACACATGTGTGAGGAGCAAGTTCCCTGTCAGGGAAAGCTGCCTTCCCTCCCCTTTGGGAAACTCTCTTCTGAGAGGCCCCTTATTTTCCCTCTGCATTTGTTTTTTCTGGGGGATGTCCATTGTCATCATTATAGACTCAGCATAGGAGCTTAGCAACAGCAAAGGTACATACTTTTTCAGGATCAACTCCTGAAGGTTCTTCCAGCTGATGATAGAGTAACTCCCTCCCTCTGAAGAAGCTGTGGTCTTCTTTTATCTTCCACTTTGGGGACAGAGGTGGAAAATGCCATAGCAGTTACAGAGGAACATGTGGAGAAGAGCGCTGATCTGGTGGCTCTGCCATCAACAGAGGGACAGACAATAGGCATGCCATTTAATATGCCCAGGGCCTCGATTTCATTATCTAAAAAACAAGGAAGTTAGATTATATGATTTCTAATAATTGATATTGCTCTGAAATTATGTGATTATTGTTCTTAAGAATCTTGAATATGATTCCTCTTGGATATATATAATTTACCCTTGTCTCTCAAGACAGTGTGCACCTAGGATTCGTTCAGTGCTCATGAAATTTCTGTCACCATACTTTAAAGGCCTTTTTCTTTGATATCTACCTGATACAGGGTTGATAGACTGATCCTTAACAGTGATTAAAGGGAATGTGTTTGAGGGAAATCTTGGGAGAGCTGGCTTGCAACAAGTGGAATAGCCCTAGACATATTTAGGGCTGTTTCAAGATCTGGTTATCAATTAATCTGACTGACACCTCCCAAGAAACTTGGATACCACTTGTCACAATTTCTAGTATCACCACTAAATCCAAGTTAGCCCAGTTCCCAGGATCACACAGAGCTAAACCAAATCCTCCTTCCATTTTATGCTGCAGTAAGCTGTGGAGACAGCATGGAGTTCACAGCCTGACCCTCCCTCTCTCTGATTTTGTGATACAGGTTAAAACTCATGATCATCATCTATGAAACAGCATACTCCAGTACTGACTGAAAAATCATTATGGGATCAAATGTGATGGCAGACAAGAAGAGCTTCTAATGTGCCTCATAATGAAAACACCTGACATTTGAATACCTCTTTACCATTTATGAAACACTTCAGAGAAATAGTTTCATTTAGGGCGTTGTCTTGGCTTTGCTGTGCTGGGTGAAATATCATTTAGGTATAGAGGGCTTGACTCAAGTTTCCTGAGTAAGGACCCTAGTCCTTTTCAGCTGGGCCTCACCGGATCCAGAGCTTTAGCTATCTTGAGGGTCTCTTCTGTCTATAAAACACCCTTTTATGTTTTTCAGGAATCTGAATTTCTGTGTTTGGAATTTGATGAGGCCAAGATCAACCAAGTCCTGAAGAAGCTCTCAGAGGTAGAAGAAAGCATCAGCACACTGATGCAGCCAGCTAGCTGAAGATGGAGTTTTTGAAGCAAAGATGTTCATGATCCCTCCTTACTGACCTGTTTTTTTAATATTATTCACCAATTAGTATTAAATCCTCAAATTCAAATCTTGCCTGCCTCTGCTTCCTGAGACTTATTTCTTCTATTTACTCTTATAGTTGTTCTACTGCAAAGGTTCTTATACTTCAGCATGTAGAGGCACTTGACTTGTAGCAGCATTTGTTTTTAAAAGGAGGTGTCTGGGACCCTATCTCTGGATACTTGGATTCAGGTGGACTGGGCTGGGGTCAACTTCAGAAACCCGTGCTGTGGTGGCTTGTCACTGGGTTGGATTTTAGGAATTTATACATGATAAATTATATAAGAATAAGAAAACATTTTACTCATAGAAGTCTGACCAAATACCATGTATCTTGAGCTGAGGCCTAGAGATTTACTGACCCTCATCAGTAAAACCAGAGATGCTTCTGAAACCGATTCAGGTATTTGAATTAGTTCTGCCCAAGTCTAGGGTGTCTGGCTTGACCTGAGCCACTGAGAAACATGGCTTTTCTAGAACCTAGAAATAAACTGGCCTCATCACACAGGGACTCTCCCTCTTACCTCCAGTCAGGACTGTGGGAAGACAAAAATGTCTGTGGAGGTGATGTGAGGGTTTTTACCTCAGGAAATTTTAGTCAAGTCATCAAAACCTCTTCAAGAAAATTTCTTCAAGAAACAGTGTAAAAAGTAGGTCCTGGTAGAGAAGTTAGGTGAAACACCAAGATTATTTTCAGAGGAGGATGCTGCCAACCAGCATATTAAGGCAATGGTCCTTGTTGAACAGGTTTTATCGTCTGATATTGATAAAATTTAGAACCTCAGTTGTCTTTGGGATATAATGTGCTCAAAAAATGTAATTCTCTTGATCTGTGGTTATATCATATGTCAGTTCTAAAGAGTTTATTCCAGGGCAGGAATAATTCCTTTCTTTAAGCATTTTCTCCTAAATCAGTTTGGAGACATTTTAGGAGTTCTTCCAACACCCAAGCTGAAAATACTGGCTTCCTCCCTGATTAAAACCATCCCAGCAGTTAGCAAACAATAACCAGAAGGTTTTAAATAGAGCCCCTGAGGACCCTTCAGAAAACATCTTGAAATAGTAGGGTAATGTGCTTTGGCCACAGAACTATTAAAATGTGCTCTTTGTTCCCAGGGCTACTGTCATGTGCTTCAGAAGAATTTAGAGAACGTCTTTGCTGTAAAATGGAGGGAAACAGTATCTTATTAGATAATGAGATTCCAGTGTCTTTGGAAGGAAGGAAGACCTGTAGCTACCACATTGTTATGAACTCACATTGCAGTGAGAGTTTGTGGAAGCCTAAAGGGACAGTCCGTGGGTCCACAGGGAAAGCTCTGGTCAGATCATCCCATGAAAGTAACAGCCACAAACGTGGACATGGGCTTTTTTATTATATCCTCAAACCTCACCGGAAAATCTGGTTATATACACTGTGTTTTTCATCATCATCATCATCATCATCATCCAAAAAGCCCCAGAAGCTAGTTACTGAAGGTTAACACTTTGAATGTAAGTGGTCTGGACAGGGCGTGTTTGTGTGTGTTTTGTATTTAATGGCGACTTTAAAATTTCTGATTACCAAAGGAGTGTTTACTATAGTCTATTGTGAAAATACAGAACATACTAAGATAAGAACAGTTAAGCCCTGGCTGGTGTGGCTCAGTTGATTGGAGAGTTGTCCCATCAAGCAGAGTTGCAACCAGAGGGTTGCAGGTTCGATACTGGTCAGGGCACATACCTGGGTTGTGGGTTCGGTCCCAGTCAGAGCTCATGTGAGAGGCAAGTGATTGATGTTTTTTCTCACTCACATCAATGTTTCTCTCCCTCTTTCTTTCTCTCCCTTTCCTTTTCTCTAAAATCAATAAGCATATCCTCTGGTGAGGATAAAAAAAAACAGTTAAATGACTCATCAACCTAATACACAGAAATAATAGAAAGAAGGCTAGAACCAGAAGAAAAATGGACTTGCCCTGAATAAATTCTTGGAAGTGGAGCATAGTGTTTTTAAGACTGATAAACACTGCCAAATTTTCTCCAGAAAAGTTGTATCAGTTTATATTTCCTCTAAGAAAGTATGAGAATAAAACACTCTTCTTCTTGTCTAATTGTATATATTATCTATTTTTGTATATTCTGGGACTAACTTGATTTTGTAAATTTTTGGAAGGGACACTTAAACCAGGACATCTCCCTGGGGAAAGGACCAGGGAAGGAGAAAACTGGCATAAGGGTCCCAGCAGACTCCACTGGGTTTCTTACCTCTGTAATCCTAGGTTACAGCCACTTTATTTTGAGTTCAGGATATGTGGGGCAAAATAAAAATAATCCTCAGCCTGAATTAGACCTTGTAGAAATTGTCCCTGCTTAAGCAATAAGCATTCTGGCTTGCCTGTGGAGAAACAGTCCAGGCAAACCAAAACTTGCTTTCAGAATAAAATTAGACAGAAACTCCAGACTTCAGTAATTTTACATCCATAAGAAGCAAAGGATTGGCCCTGTCCTCAGGGATGGCTGTCCGAGGAAGCTCTGGTTCTTATCGGCTTCATCAGTGAAGCCCTAAATTCCACCATTACACCCTCCCCTTCCCTTTATATAACTCTCTCTTTCCCCAGTCTTATTTTAATGATGATTCAAAAGAATTACAGTATTTTGAAATTTAGTTTAACTTATTCTCCCCAAATGCAAGAAGGCAATGAATAACTAAAGATGATATTGAGTATCTGAAATCTTAAATAGCTGCCATGTATCAAGCTATTAGTTACTGAAATTCTTTTTTTAGACCTGAAATTTTGCAATACAAAATATAAATAGAAATTAAATGAAAAGAAATGTTAAACAGAATTTTAGAAAATATTTTTTTTTCTGAAGTGCACAATAAATATCTAGGCCAATAAAGAGACAAGGAAGGATACAGAAGGAGGTTTTCTAGAGTCAGCTCAGAAATGAGTGGCATTTTCCTGAACGAGCAGTATGTTGGAAGGAATGGGCCTTTGCAGGACAATTGCCACCTTATTCTTCTTAGCTGTCCAATTTTCCAGTCGAGGTTTTCAAATATTTTCAGGGGTGTCAAACTCATTTTCACTGGGGGCTACATCAGCTTTGCAGTTGCCTTCAAAGGGTCAAATGTAATTGTAGGACTGTGTAAATGTAACTACTAAGCTAGAGCTCGGCGCTGCTACCTGGTAGAAACAAGGTGCCGGGCCAGATAAAACAAGGTGGAGGGCTGGATTTGGCCCACAGGCCTTGTGTTTACCACTTGTGTTTTAGATGGTGATTTAGTCAGCAGAATAGAAAACCTAAATAGAACATAATGAGTTTGAGCTTAATTCTAGTTGCGAAGTATACTATTTTTACCTCAAAGTTTAAGAGAGAGCAGTTTTTATCTAAGTGCAGGCAATTCTGCCTTACTCAGGGCTGGCCATGTTCGTCACTGGGCATCGCTGCTGTGTGCAGCACTGAGCCAGCCTTTGTTACAAAGGAACCCGCCTGTGCCTGCTTCCTGTCAAATGGTGCCAGTCGACGTAAGTTACTGGTTCACTACATATACTGTCAGAATAAAATACTAAACCTATACATGAGCAGATAGAAAAATATGGGTATTTATATCATTTTACTCACCAAAGACTATATAATTAGGCCCTTTGTTTCATTTTTTTGTTTGCTCTTGGCTAGTTTTCTGTTTCCTGCTGTTCGGGTTTCAAGTTTCTTTGATTCACAGGATGCAGGCAGGGAGAAATGGAAAGGGGAATAATGAGGATTTGAAAGCACAAATAGAACAGGAGATTAAACTGTTAGTTTAAAAGAAATTTAGCAGTGGTTGGTGTGGCTCAGTTGATTGAGTACCAGCCAACAAAACGAAAGGTCATGGGTTTGATTCCCTGTCAGGGCACATGCCTGAGTTGCAGGCCAGGCAACCAATTGATGCAAGAGTCAACCATTCAATGTGTCTCTCGCACATCGCTGTTTCTCTTCCTCTCTTTCTCCCTTCCCCTCTCTAAAAGTAAATAAATAAAATCTAAAAACAATATTACCTTTAAAAAAGGAAATTTAGGTTGAAAGGGGAGAGTAGTTAAAATTTTTAATGCTGTTATTATACTGTTTTTATATTAAAAGTAAAAATAGATTGAGAGATTTTTGTGATTCACATTCTGGATATTTTTAGAACCATGGCAAAAAATTTGGCACTGATCTCAGAATGACTGATTTGCAGGCTTTTGGTAGAAGCTATTTTCTCATCTTGTCCAATGGGAAACGTCTGGACAGACAGGGCAGAGGACTTGTACAAGGCCATGGTTAGAAAGAGACCTCAGGGTTCTTGTCTTTCAGCTCAATGTTCTACCTGCCAGACCCGCCAAAAGAACACTATGTACATGTAAAGAAAAAGTCAGTGTCCTTGCGTGTTATGTTTAGATGATGACAGTTCCTACAGTGATGATTTTGTGTGTGCATATGACCTTGGGGACAGTGAGGTTCATTTTTACTTGCAGCCTGCATCCATCTTAAACCTGTCACTGTGCAGAGACTGCCCGTGCTTTTGTAGAGCCGGATGGTGTTTCTGATGGCCTTGGCCTTACTGTCTCTCCAATGGCACCCATCTCAGGGTGCCACGTGCAAGGTGAATCTGCTGCCACATAGGGCTTCCTGGCTATTCACAGTACCCATTAGGCAGCAATTTATCATTGTCCTAGCTGGACAGCCATGACCCAAGCTTGCTAAATAACAGCATAACTCTTGGCCATTAATTCACTGTAACAATGTTTATATTAAACTGTGTAGCAGCTCCATTCATACTATTATGGTTTTCTCAACAAAGCCTACCCACAGTGTTACAAAACAGGGATAAGATTCTTTTTACATTTTAATTATAAAAGTAATACATGCTCATTAAAAATTAATAATTATTTAATGTTTAAATCAGTACGGAATTGTATGGAGCAAAAATTACTTTCTTGCCTTCTGCTTTAAAAACGAATCTCTTTTTAGAAGTAGTTGCTATTAATAGTTTGGCGTGTTTCCTTCCAGGTACTTTCTGTGCACACCAAAATAAGTG